GCTGCCGCTGCTGTGCCCGGTGCGGGCGGGACGGGACCGGGCGGGAGCGGGGACGGGGATGGGAGCGGGATCGGGACCGGGAGCGGGGTCGGGACCGGGGATGGGAGCGGGAGCGGGATGGGAGCGGGAGCGGGATGGGAGCGGGGTGGGATCGGGATGGGATCGGGATCGGGATCGGGATCGGGGTGGGAGCGGGGCGGGATGGGGACCGGGACCGCTCCCCCCGGGGGGCTCCGTTTGACTTCACGGCGTGTCTTTTTGGTGAAGTTCGTCTGGGGTTTTTGTTTGGTTTTTTTTGTTTTGTTTTGTTGTATTTTACTTTATTTTCTTTTAATTTTTTTCCTTTTCGTTCATTATTTTCTTTTATTTTCTGTTATTTCACTTAATTTCACTTTATTCCATTTTATTCTATTTCACTTCGTTTCACTTTATTCCATTTTATTTTATTTCGCTCTCTTTTCTTTCACTTTATTTTACTTTATTCCATTTTATTTTATTTCTCTCTTTTCTCTCACTTTATTCCACTTTTTTTTAAAATTTCACTTTATTGTCTTTCACTTTATTTTACTCTCTTCCACTTTTTTTTTTATTTCACTTCATTGTCTTTCGCTCTATTTTACTTTACTATTTCTATTTCATTTCGCTTTGTTCCGCTTTATTTTATATCGTTTCCTTTTACTTCACTCTCTTTTACTTTGTTTCATTCTCTTCACATTTCATTTTACATCATTTCGTGGTTTTCCACTTTTTGGTTCACTTATTTAACCCCGTTACACTTCGTTTTGTTTCTTTCCCTTTTTTATTTCATGCTTATTTTTATTTTCCATTTGGTTATTTACTTTTATTATTACTGTTTGATATTTCAATTTTATTTATTGTACTTTATCCTTTCTTTATTATTATTTTTTTTTATTATTCATTATCAGGATTGGGTTGGGTAGCATCCGTGTCCGTGGGTGGGTGGCTCTGTCCCCTTGGGGAGCATCTGGGTGGGGTTGGGGTACCCTAGGGAGTACCCAGATGGGTTAGGGTGCTACCGTGGCCCAGGGAGCACCCACGTGGGTTTGGGGTCCCACCATGACCTGTAGAGCACCCACATGGGTTTGGGGTGCACGTCCACCCCAGGGAGCACCTAGATGGGTTGAGGTGCTACCATGGCCCAGGGAGCACTCACAATGGGTTTGGGGTCCCACCATGACCTGTAGAGCACCCACATGGGTTTGGGGTGCACATACACCCCCAGGGAGCATCCAGGTGGGTTGGGGAGCACTGAGGAACCTTGGGGTTCACCTGCGTGGGGTTGTGGAGCACCCATGCCCTGGGGAGAACCTAAATGGAGGTAAGGGAGCACCCAAATGGGATTGGCGAGCACCTGGCTGGGGTTGGGTGGCACCCAACTGGTGGTCAGGGACCACCCAAATGGGGTCGGAGAGTACCTATACCCCAGGAAGCAGCCAAATGGGGGTAAGGAAGCACCCAAACGGGGTTGTGAAGCACCTGGATGGGGTTGAGGAACACCCAAATAGGTGTCAGGGAGGACCCCAATGGGGTTGGGGAGGACCTGGATGGGGTTGGGGAGCACCCATACCCTGGGGAGCACCCAAGTGGTGGTCAGGCAGTGCCCAA